AGCATACAAGACAAACCAAATCAAATCAAATCAAATCAAAATCAAATACCTGGATAGGCAGCAGGTATGCCAAAAATAGTATTTTGCAGAAGACTGGCAATGCTTCTTTTCTAAGGAATGTACCAAGATTAATAAAGGCTACTTGAGGAATAATTTGCTGTCCCATAGAAGAAAATATCCAATTGTTACTATTATACAACCATTTTCTGTCCTGATGCTGGAAATGTATTGTGCAAAGTAAAATGAATGGAAATGTGAGATTTCTTGTTATTTTAAAATTTATTTTAAGGCATGCTTTAGGAATAAAATGGATTATCCACAATTGCATGCATTCCCTGAAATCAATTGGGCTGACATGTCTAAAAAGGGGCTTACCAGGTCTTCCCTCAACTACTCTCCCTTGTATAGGAATCCAGGGCTTGTGGGGGGCTATCATAGACTCTTTAAGTACTGAAATCCTCAACTAGTAGGAAAGCATGCCAGCCTTTTGATGAGCTCAGATGCCAGGAGTCTTTTCCGAGGGAAACAGCTCTAAGAATCATGTCCAGCTATAAGCTGTCCAAAATATTGATAACTCCTGGATTCTATCCCGGATTTGGTGTGGTTCATGTGATGTACATTCTTCATGAGTGCTTTTTTTTATGCTAATACAGACAAAAATTGCTGATAAGGTCAGAAATTGTGCCATTCTCGGGCCATTTGAACTCCTTCAGACATCGTTCTAAATGATTGGCATGCAAAATGGCTCAATTTGAGCATTTGAAACCATGACGTGAGCCCCTCCCTCCCTTGCATAGGAAACCAAGCTGTTTCCTTGTCTATTTTCCCACTACTAAATCAGCCAGGTGTCATCGAGGCAATACAGAATGCTTTTGTATGTTGGAAATAAGTTCACGCAAGCCCCCGTCATGCCGCATTTGAAGTTCTTACCAAAGTAAAGGAAGAAGCTGCTTGCTCCAGCAAGCCCACCAGTCCTTGTTCTGTGAAGTATTTTCCAGAGCAGATGCCCTCTTCATCTGGGGACAATATGTCATCTGAAACAGCGGACTCTTCTAGCACGTTGGAAGATATGTTCTTGGAAAGAGAGGTAAATTATGGAGAGGCTGAGTCAGAGAGAAACGGAACTTGGAAACAGTCCAATTTTGGTGAACATGATACTGAACTTTAGAAAGAATGCAGAGAAGAGCAACCAGATGATTAGGGAGCTAGATGCTAAAACAAAGTGTACGATGAGCAATTGTAGGGACCGGATATGTCTAGTCTAATGAAGAGAAGGAAAAGGGATGACATGATAGCAGTCTTCCAATATCTGCGGGACTGTCACTCAATCTCCTCTCCAAAACATCTGAGAGCAGGACAAGAAGGCAACAGATGAAAACTTACCAAGGAGAGAAGCAACCTACTGCAACATGCTCTACATGGGGTAGCCCTTGAAGAGCATTCGGAGACTTCAGCTTGTCCAGAATGCAGC